TTCGTAAAAAGTTCTGCTTTAAGCTCATAAGCAAATGCGGGCCTTTCAGTACGCCAAATTCCAACTCTGTAGTTGCATTCCGGTGCTCTGTACAGAGGCCAGTATGGTATTTTTTTAAACAAATTTAACAGTTAATAATTCTCAAATAAATTATTGAATGCTAATTTTTGTTATTCTATCATAAATCCTGTACACTTTTCAATACACCTTAAGGCCTGGTTTCTTAAGACAAGCGCCTTCTCTGGACGTCAGCGGGAAGTTGACGTACCTTGACGCCAACAAAATACTGTTTTTTAAGCTCAGCGTGACGTGAGCAGTCATTCCAACGCAGACATTATCTCGCATTGAGCATGCGTTAATGACGGAAACAAATATTTATTTTAATTTTGTGTTATTGTCGACCAGTGCTTTAGAGAGAAAATGACCTTGTCCAAGAAAAAAACTTTACAGCTTTGCTGAATGAAGAAGAAGAGGAAGAAGAAGCTATTGTTAATGTCAAAAAAAAATCTTGGCCGATTTCAATGCTCTGTTGGCTGCTTCTGGCGTTAACGTTAACGTTGTAATCCAATCTGTTGTAATCCAACTAGGGAGAAAACGTAAAATTTAGGATAAGACGTGATGATCTATAATAATAATACGGTTGCACGTGCGTCTCTCTTATAGCTCCAGACTCATTTGTGAAATGCTGAAATTTGGACAGAAGGATTAAGAAACCATTTTAGCCTCCCATCCTAAAAAATGGTTCAAAATTTCAATAAAACTTTTATGAGCGACATTTAATGAATAAAATTTTTTCATTGGCTTAGAGGAAAGCGTTATTGATATAAATGAAACTGCAGAAGATTTTAAATTTAGCATAAGTGATGTTTGCTTGCTCATAGCTCTTATTAATCAAAAGAGGAGCTTATTGCACTTTAGCAATTAATTATTTTTTATTCACTATGTCAGAAAAACTCAATGATTCACGATAACTCTAGCATTGGCAGACTACGTCACCAAATTAGTATTCTTTAAGTACATGTAACCACTTATATAATTACGCTTAAAAAACGTATTTCCATAAAACTAAATAATTTAAAATCAGCGATATTCTTTATTTTATAACCGTCGTTGAACAGCCTACCCGATTTCGAGTTGAGTTTACGACTATAAATATTAAACCCCATAGCCTTGTAATTTTGTATCCAATCCTGAAGACAAGAAATTCTTGGATTAAGCATTATCATAAATCTGCCTTCGTGGAGGATATTTTGATGGAATTAGCCCTAATTTGCATTGCATGGAGAGGAAAAACACGTAACCTCTCATATTTACACTAACGGTGAGGGAACTCTAAGCCATGATCAGCCTACCACTAAGGGTATTTTACATTTTTGCGTCAGCACTGCGGTCAGCGTCTGCCAGGTGAGGAATTCGTATTGACCAGTCATCGCTGGGATTCAAACTTGGGTCACCTCATTGGGAGGCGAGTGCTCTATCACCTGAGTCACCACGGTTTCAGTGATATTGTTAAATAAAATAGTTACTTGCCTAAAACGGAAGTTAATGGAGAAATAATATTAAATCCTTTAGGAGAAAGGTTAAAAATCGGAAGGTAATTTTGGTAGTCAGTACTAATTAAAATAAAATTCAAGCCATGCACTGGAAAGTAAATTTAATTGAGAAACGGTAGTAGTTCGTTCAGGAGGAACATAAAAGGTCGCAGTGCTATCATTTCCCATGGTGCTTAATTATTTTGGTANTTTAAGGGGTTAAAAATTTTAATTTATGCTGTGAAAGGTGATTAATAAAATAATGCACATGCAACATAATATAAATGATATAGGAAACTATTGGTGGTTCTTAAAGAGTTAAGTAATGACGTGTAAACATAAGATTATTAATTTTCAGCTGTTACAATCGTCCCTTTACTTATTGTTACAATCGTCCCCAAGGAGCCATTTCAGCTTCATTTATTAAAAACAATGCTAGTTAATTAACAGAACTAATCTTTTTTTTTAATGTCAATTAAGGTGTCCACTTACATATTCAGTTAATAATTTTTATTTGTTTAAACAAATTACTTAGTTACAATATAATATTCTAATTCCAAAAAAAGTACTTACGTAGAGTGAAAATATCTTCTGTGATGTAACTCTTTCAAAAGTAGATAAAAATGGTTGCTAGCAGGGGTGTACATGTAGATTTATTAAATACACCTTGTGCTCCACCTGGGAACCAAATCTGGAACCCGACACTCGAAATTTTTGCTCCGTTACAATCGTACCCTGTTACAATTGACCCCACTCTCCCCTACTAATTAAAATAAAATTCAAGCCATGCACTGGAAAGTAAATTTAATTGAGAAACGGTAGTAGTTCGTTCAGGAGGAACATAAAAGGTCGCAGTGCTATCATTTCCCATGGTGCTTAATTATTTTGGTAATGCACGCTTTTGGTATTTCGGTAATTGGTGCAATTTTATTCAAAACCAAATGTGCCAATGCCTTTAATATTAATTTATTTGGAACCAATTAAAGCTGCATTAATGCTGCGCAACTTCAATATAGATAATATTGAAAGAGGTGTTTTGCGGTCCATAAAATAGATATGTACCAGAGAAAATATCTTAATTGTGGTGCATTTTGATCATCATGAGTTGGCTTTGACCAATTAAACCAATCCGAAAGATACTGATTACAGTTAAAAGTTATTTTTTCAGGATAAGCTACTGAAAACGTCTTTTATTTAATCTAATAACGTAAAGTTCATGGCAAGAACAAAAAACAAGAAAAAAAGTAAATTGGAATTATTTTAGCTTCATAAATTGTACTGGTATAAGCCTTTAAATTTTGTGTATGATTTCGTAGTGTGGTTCAGTGATTTATCGATTTTTTTCCATGCAGATCGGAGAACATGTATTCAGCTAGATGTATTATAATATTAATATCTAACAGAATATATATTTAATAAAATACTCATGTAATAGAATTAACATCTAATGGAAATATCTGGGAATAAATGGTTTGTGGAGTTAGAAACATTTTGGGAAATCCAAGTAATTAAAATCTGATGCCATATATTTTTACAAGCAATTTGTAATATGTGACTGCCTTATTACAGTAATTACCCCAAAACACCGTTTGGTTAATTTTTTTTTTTGCTTTATTAAAGCTCGGCCTCTTATTGGTATGGACTTTATAAAACGTTGATTTGTCATTTGTATAACGTTCATGGCTTTTTCCAATGGTAGTTTCGACGATCGCAGATTTGGATGTTGCATGGCACTTTCGACTTCTCGCAACATATGTTTAATGGAATTAAAATCTAGTCATTTGGAAGTCAACGCAATAAAGTGGAATTTCTACTATTAACATAAAAATAAATATTCACCGTATTGGCAGTATAGCAAGATGCATTATCCTTAAGAATGTAATATTGCAGATAAATCATCATGAGTATTACGAATTAGAAAATTTAGGCTGCAATGAATTGAAAATAAATAATCTAAGAAATGCCATCACACTACTTAGTAAGAGAAACATTGTTATGTAACAACTCATTTGCATAAACTTTTGGAAGGTCATCAAAATGCAGCTTGATATGTAACATATGTCAAAACATTTTTTTTTAATTGATAAAATAAATACATTAACGCATAAATCTCTAGTTATTGTTACTAACATCAAAATAATTGCAATAAATTAGATTTTAAATTTGAAGCACATTTTTCAATTTATTGATGGAATTAATTTGTAATCTAAAAACGATTTTATAGCCTGTATTTTGAATTTTAAAGACAAAATCTATGATATTATTACTGAGTCATTAAAATAATAGTTAGAAATCACTAAAACTTTTCCATACAAAGTTTTTTGTGTAAAATAATTACTTTCTTTTTATTAAAAAAATGAAGAACGTGAATAAAATTTTTGGTTGCAAATTATTTTATATAAATCTACATAAAAACAATTTTTAAATTTGAACATAATTTAAAGAAAATGTGAATAAAATATTTGGAGTGCTCGGACTCTCAGAGAAAAATATTCTTGATATCGAGTTTAATTATATATTTATACTATATATAATACGTCTGCACAAACAAATATGTGCATTCATCGTAGTCTGAATTGCCTTGAAAGAAAATAGTTTGTTACAAAAAATACCTACTTTTCTGGATTCTTTTACATTTTTTTACTTACGATTCCTCTTTTGCAAATAAGGATCATCAAACAATATATTTTTGCAAAATTTATAAACATATTTTGTGCATTATCTGTCCGTAAATATCATGCACTGATAAAAAATATGGTCGAAACTAACAAAATATACTCAAATTTTTCGTGTTCTCTATCGGGACACAAAAAAGCTTGATCATTTTTACCGAAGTGCTTTGGGAATGATTTTTTAAAAATTAATTGCAAAATATGATTTTATAATTTGCTATAAAATTTGGTAAATGTGGTATAATTCGTCAATTTTAATATGATATCTTAGAGCATGGCATAAAAACCATTTTTTTCGGTTAAATTTACTTTTCGGTTTTATATATTTTGATAAGTGCTTCGTAGTGAGGGCTATAATTCTAAAAACCATAATTTCTGGTAAACCGTTGCCATTTGAAAGAGAAAATAATTAAATTAATGGTTTAAATACAGAATACTTTTGTTTTTATTAATAAAAGTACGTTTTTTTTTTCTTTTTTTTTTAATTTTACTACTGCACAGTATGGAAAATTTTTCTAGAAATTTTTACCTTGTACATAGAAGAAAAAATTTAAAAACTAACTGGCAGAAAGCAAAACAATCGAAACTAAATTCTGTGAATAGCAATATTATTAGTAATCAATAATCTATTTTTGTATAACCAAAAAAAAAAAACATTTTTCTAAAACAAGAAAGAAATATCAAACCAGATATTTAAAGTGATTACAGTACTATAAAAATTTTTCCTAACAAACTCATTTAATTATAACTATTAAATACTGCAAAATTAAAAATGTTAGAAAAATTTCTTACTTACCTAACAGTGAAAACGTAATGATTCCTAATATGAAACAATTAGGAATTTGGTGCACAAAAGTCGCCATAATCCTTTAGGAAAATTTTTGATTTGCAGAATAGGAAATATTAAATTAGTTAATTCCAATATAATTCTACTTAACACAAATTATTTACCCCTAAACGATTCGAATAAAAATTTAAAACACAATTCCAAGCAAATTCGTAATATGGGTCATTTTCTTAGCAAGTTTTTTTTTTCTTATTTTAAAATTGTTGAAATTAACTTAGATAATTTTTTAAACACACTCTATTTAATAAAAGCGCACGTGGTTTTTTCTGCCGGCACAGAGTTTCTCAAAACTTTTGACAGTTTCTAATTCAACTTCACTTCTTTTTAGTTTAAAGAATTCAAAAGAAGAACATTTTATTCTGAAACATTGTGTAATACTTCTTCTTTTGTTAAACTTAGTTGTACTTTGTCAATGTCACCTGTTTTGCCGGGCGGTGAAACTGTGATAGACGTCCGGACTTTGACAGGGGCGCTACCTCAATGCCCCTGCGTGGCAGACTGTAGCCTCAAGTAAAACATCATACACACTAACTCTCCTTTCGGTTTGCTCCTAGGAGTTACTTTTCTGTTCGCGAACAGAAGGTGCGCGTTCGCCAAGTAGTTTTCGCCAAAGCGCCATTTTATAAACTTTCTTGGCGCTAAGAATATGAAGTGCATCATAAGCTTCTTTAACGGACTTACAATATGTCAGGGAATTGTTATAAATGATGAGATTAAAATTTAATGAGAATTTTTTTTTCATTAAATAAATAATTTAATAAAATTAATATCAGTTTTTATGCTGATTCTGAAATTATTTTAACTGGGTTAATTTAAGGTTTTGTTTTCTGAAAAATGAAATTGATTATGATTTGTAAATAAACTAAAATAATTTAAAATAAAGCTTTTGTCCCGAAAAAATCTATAGAGATAAGCACTCTTAGAAATGAAACTCTCTCTTTTGACTGTTCTATAACTCTTGAGCGCTATTTCGTTAATTTTGAGAATCGTTTCATCATGAAAGCACATGATTTGTGACGAAATGCAACTTTTCAAATATTTGACGAAAATAATTCAACAACTCGGAGCCTCGTCTAAGTACATTTTGGAAGATTTAGCTGGAATAACGGAACTAGAATGGAGACTTGACGATCGGAACTAGAATGAGAAAAAAAGCCGGCTGACCTCTGTTGTGGTCATAGAGTTGTCCTTATACCAGGAAAATCATGGGTTCGAATCCTGATTCTGGTATGGATGTAATTTATCTCTCTGTTTTATCTGTTCTTGTGTTGTTGGACAACGTTGATCCACCTATATGATGCCCACGAAATATTGATCAACAATGCCGCTCGTTAGATACCATAACCTTCATCGAATAAGATACCATAACCTTCAAGTCTTTCATGGAATTTTTTTGGGGAAAAATGACTACTATTTATTCACTTTTGGCGAAAATCATTTGCTCGTAGAAGTGACGACAGTTATTTCGTCATTTCGACAAAATGTTCATTCTGACCATAAACTAGGAAATTGTTTCTTAAAAAACAAAGAAAATTTCGTGGAATTTGTGTATCCTTTTTTCGCATTGAACACGTATATTTTTAACACAAGAATAGTGTTTCTCTTCCTCCTTCTATATTAATGTATTTTCTAGTTTTGAAATTTATTTCAAACGGTTAATGTGATTATACATATGTAGGAAATGTTATGATTGTAGGAAATTTGTCACAAAGTATTTATTAATTAATATTGCCTAGCAAATGTTATTGTAGCTTATAACAAGATGATAATACACAAAATCTCAAGAGATAGTGTCTTGAAAATTTCAAAGTAACTTTACTAACAGTTTATCCAATATATTATTCACTAGGAGGCTTCGCCCCCTGCTCGCTGGCGCTCTCCAACCCCGGAACTGCTTTCGCAGTTCATGTCGAATTGCTTCGCAATCCAATGCTCGCTTTTTGCTCGCTCATTGGATACGTTCTTAACGTCTAGTTTTTGTATACTCTTTTGAATACTGAAGTTCCGAAAACTTTTCACTGTAGAAAATTCTAAACCAGTACATTTCAATATTAATTTGAAATTGCAAACAGTTCACAAATTTTTCTTAATGACACTATTCTAAATTTCAGTTGTTGAGAAAAGTAACTGTTGTAAGTTTTGTTTTAAAGTCTTTCCCACCAGAGGGCTAAAGCCATGTGTTGTAAAACAATATGAAATAGTAGTCTGCCACTGAACGCCGGATGTAAAGCATCGGCTTTGATGAAGATAATTTTGTATTTTTAATTCTCTGAAGGGCGCCACCTTAATAATATGGAATTTGTAAAATAAATGTATATATTTTTGATTGTTGATGAAGCCCATCATTTTGTGTTTTCATCAGTGTTCAGAAGCAGAACAACTATAAGTTTTTTATTTTATCACAAAAATATAAAATGTATAAAAAACAAAGAAAAGAGTAAGAAAATGAGTATAGTCATAGAAAAAGTTAAAATTATAATATAGTATTTGTCAGTTAAAATAAAACTTTTTGTTTAAGTCATTGCTAACAATTCAAATTTCTCCGAGGCAATTCTAAAGTATAAATTAAGGTAGTATTGTTAAGTTGAAACACAATATTTTTAGTTTTGATGTCAACAATACAATTCAATTTTTCACAAAAACGATTGTTTCCATTGTTAAGTTCAATGTCAACAATTCAAATTTTTCTGAGGCAACTCTTAACCTCTAAATATTTTTTTTTTTATGTACACATTTCTAAATGTCAGTATTCAACCACAAAACAACTTAAAGTCCTCAAATTTAGCATGAAGTTGTAAAATGTAATGAAAGAGGGTCATAGCAATAATGAAAGTAGAAGTAAAGTTAGTACTGTAAAATTAAAACAATATTTTTAATCAATGAGCCAAGTTCTTCAAGAAGCAGTTGTAGAAGTAGGTTGTTTATTTAAAACTTTTTATAGAATTTCTTTAAGAACACAATTGTTAATTTGGGCATTTGGCGATACAACACTTTTAGAATTGAAGGATTTGTTACGTCAAGCGCTCAGGTATCATAATTTTGATCTAGTTGCGCTTCTATGTCATTTTGATTTATGTTGCTAAGTTAACTTTCAAAAAATTCTATGGCTGGCAACAGCATTTTTATTTTTTAAGTTGTTTATTTTTATTTCTTTTAGAATTCGTTATTTTTTTAGCGAAATGTTTTTTAACCTAACAGAATTCTTTGCCGACTGTTTTCTCTATGAATGAAGAAAATAAAGTAAATATTTAACTGTTGTGAAAAGAATCTTATTTAGTTGTACAAAGTACTTCAGCCAAAATTTGGGAGCCACGTAAGAGAATTTTATATATTAAATCAGAAACACATCATTAAAAGGCAGATTGCTTTTGGGTTTTCAAAACAAAGCAAGCGTTGCCACCGTCGGAAAGGAAATACAGCCAAAATTTGGGAGCCACGTAAGAGAATTATATATAATAGATTATTCAGTGGCACAACACCCTATTTATTGAACTCGCCAACTAAACTATTTTTATTGTTCTGTTCGGATATCTTTGCAATTAGATTTCGCTTCACTCATTTATTACGTATTTAGGACAGCTAGCCTTTGCATTATGTTGGTATTTTTCTTTAAAAAATGAAATCTTAAAAATATGCATATCTCTATGCAATTTTTTAAAACTTGATCTACATATATTTATTTCAATTTAAATACATCACGATTTAATTTGTATACATTTCTATACTAGTTGGAAATTGCATTTAAAAAAATAATTCAACGAATTCAATTAGAAATGTTTTTGTTTAGAGACATAACATTTTTAAATACTTTATTCTAATATGAACTTGAAAAATGTATAAAAACCATAGTAGAATTAAAAAAATCAAAAGATGCTTAATTGACTGATCTTTGTTTTAAAACATTCATGTCTATTCCGTTATTTATTAAACGTCTTTAAATATAAAATACTGCTCTAAATTATTGTTAGATCTGCGTAAAATGCTTAGCATTATTAAAGCAAAAATATAAAACAGTTTTAGCAGTTTTCTTTTTTAACCTTTCATTTCTGACCAGTTTGAAGCTTAGTTTTTCTTAGCTTTTTGTCACTCACGCGAGAACTGAATTTCCTTTCAAAAATTTGAATGCATGTATATTTAAGCATTCATGCTTATGACTACTCGCTAGCTTCGTGTTTCAGTTTTCAGTTCTTTGTAGCCAATGGAAAAAATTAAAATTCTTCGGTTACTTAATAATATTCATACTACAGAAAAATGTATAAAGTGTTTTTACTTTATGCTAGAATAAATGAAGAGCCGACGCGTTTTTACTTCAAAGGTAGCAAAATAGTTTCATTTTTTGTCAAATGGTTCAGCGCCAATATATGTTAAAAAGCTAAGCTAGCTACTACTGATGAATTTAATGTATTCTATTATTCTTGCTTTATTATAAAATTTCACTTTATATATAAAATTCTTTTTAAGCAATATTTGTTTTGCTTTAACTACATGAACATTTTCACGATTTTTTTAAAACATATTGAAGTGTTAATGAAGACAATGAACATTTTGTCTCAACACCTAAAGTAAAAAAATAGTGCGTTGAGTCACTCCGCGCGGAAGAAGTTAAACTTCGCAACCTGCGACGTTAATTGTAGAAGAATCAGCAGTCGTAGAAGGATCACTAGTTCTACTCAGCGACTCTTTTTCCTTCTCCGCTCGTTGTCGTGCTCTGTAATCACGGTAGTATTTTTCCTTCGTGGACCTCTTGAACCAGTGGAAGTGCTTGTGGTTGCCTCATCATCTCGCCATGGAAAATGTATTAATAATGTATGTGAATGCGTCATAATGTAATTTCAAAACAGAAAACCTAACAATCAATTGATATTCACAAGAGACGTACCTTGACATAACCTTAAATCCGTCGCATTGTCCGTGGGATTGTTTTCACTCATTTTTTGCAATTGTTATCCACTAAGTTTGAAAATAAAAAATACTACTCTATTGGGTGTACTATAGCCTACGTCACAGATCGTGTTATTCCTACTAAATTTAACTAGTAAACAGCATTTTCTGCGAACCTGATTTCTAACAACAAGTAAAAGCATCAAACGAAGTGTCTTGTTTATAAGTCGCTACTCGCCAGGTTGGAATTGTATTAGTCTAGTTCCTTTGGAAATAATTTGTATTGTTGTTTTACCGAAGTTTATGAATTTAGTAAGCATATTTAAAACTCAGTTTATTAATTAAACTAAAAGGTAAATGTTATTCCTAGTAAGTGGAAGTAGTTGTGCTTTTTTCATATTATACCCAATT